AAAAAAAATCGAGGACGAAGATAATATCCATCTACAAGCCGAGGAAAGAAATAAGGAAGCCTGCAGGCCTTGAGAAATGGGGAGAGGGGAGGACGCAGCAATCATGTGAAACTGAAACCCAGGGGCACACTCTGTGCTAAGGAAATCAAAGCCAATACACGAACATAAAGCACCCATCAGAGGCCACTGAAACCCTGAGAGCGTCACAGAAACACCATCAAAACCTAAGAACTCCTGCAAGAAAAAAAGCCCCACTCAAGATAAGCTCATAAAATCACAGAAATACAAACCACAGGGAAATAATTTACCATAAGGGGAGAGCCAACAGACATTACGTAGGACCCTAAGTCATGAAGACGGTAGAAAACTCTAAAGGGAGTAAGTCTGAAATTATTAAAAAGAGAAAGGCAAAAATCTTGTTGGAAAAAAAAAAAAAAAAGCTATAAGAAAGAGAAAAGAAGGGTTTTTTTGTTTTGTTTTGTTTTCTTTTTTTAAGACAAAGTTTCTTTCTTGTTGCCCAGGCTGGAGGCCAATGGCATGATCTCTGCTCACTGCAACCTCTGCCTCCAGGGTTCAAGCAATTTTCCTGCCTTAGCCTCCCGAGTAGCTGGGACTACAGGTGTGAGCCACCACACCCAGCTAATTTTTTTGTATTTTTATTAGAGATGGGATTTTACCACGTTGGCCAGGCTGGTCTCAAGCTCCTGACCTCAGGTGATCCGCCCACTTCGGCCTCCCAAACTGCCAGGATTACAAGCATGAGCCACTGCGCCCAGGTGAGAACAGGTTTTGCCGAAAAATACAGTTATCAAAATAGGTTTCATGGTACATGAAGTACAACTGAAGATATTTAATGATCTACAAGACCGATTTGAAGAAATCACCCAGAATTTAGCCCAAAATAGTAAGGGTAAAGAGCTGTGGAGGGAAGCATAAGAGAACCTAACATACATCGACGAGGAATTTTAGATTAAAATAGGGAGGATGGGGGAGAGGCCGTGTGTGGAGGCTGTAGTCAGCTCCGGTCACACCACTGAGCTCCAGTCTGGGTAAAATGCCGAGGCACGAGAATCACTTGAACCCGGGAGGCAGAGGGTACAGGTAGCCGAGATCACACCACTGCACTCCAGCCTTGGTGACAGAGAGAGACTCGGTCTCAAAAATCAACAAATAAATAAATAAATATTTCATCGTGTTGGCACTGGAACCCCTGCCTTATGCTACTGGAAATTTTACTAGTTTTTCCACTATAAAGTATACCTACTCTTGCAAAAAAGCCTCCTTTTCAACCACCAAATCCATATTCCTCATAGATATGGGGAGCAGTCCTTGGGAATATATAAAGTTCGTGGATTGAAAAAGAACACTAACTTCTGGGTACATAAAATCACAGATGACAAAGACGCATATATTTACATATGTGTACTTTACATAACACACATATACACAAAAATATACACACATATTCACATGCATATGTAAAATGCATATATTTATGTTATATATGTGTATTTGTAATCCATATTTACACATATGTAAATATATGGGCATATTACATATACACACGTGTGTGTGTAGACACATATGTGTGTGTGTATATATACATGTATGTAATACACACACACCTGGACACATCACAGTGAAATTTCAAAGCGTCAAGGACAAAGAGGGTATCTGAAAACGCATCTGGAGAGAAAGGACAAATCTGTAATGGAATGACAATAAAACTGATAGCAGATTTCTTTTTAGCAATAGTAGATGATAAAAGACAATGGGACGGCCTCAAAGTGCTGAGAAAAAACACCCATCTACTTAGAATTCTGTGCCCAAATTTATTTTAAATTCTCAGGCTCGGCGCGGTGGCTACGCCTGTAATCCCAGAACTTTGGAAGGCTGAGAAAGGCGGATCACCTGAGGTCAGGAATTCGTGACCAGCCTGGCCAATATGGTCAAACCCTATCTCTATTAAAAATACAAAAATTAGCTGGGCATGGTAGCTCACACCTGTAATCCCAGCTACTCAGGAGGCTGAGGCACGAGAATCACTTGAACCTGGGAGGCGGAGGGTGCAGTGAGCGGAGATCACGCCACTGCACTTTGGCCTGAGTGAGAGAGAGAGACTAGGGCACAAAACAAACAAATAAATAAAAACAAACAAATACTCAGCGAGTTTGCCATGTACACGGCCTCACTGAACTAAAGGGTGTCTCAGCAAGAAGGAAAGTAAACCGAGAAAGAAGATTGAGATACGAGAAGCAACAGTGAGTGAAGACATTTCCAAATATGTTGGCAAAAGGAAATGAATATTGACTATTCAATATTCAATACTTACATTGGAGGGTTTAATTTCAGGGTTTAAAAAAAGAACATGGAAGAGAAATATTAGGAAACAGTGACACGAAAGGACAGATGGAGAAATCAGAGTTCATTCTACATTTATTCTTCTGCTTAAAGTGATAGTAGCAAAACCCACAAACTCTAGATTGCGGAGTTTTATGTTAAAAGCTAAGGATGACCATGAAAAGAACAGAGATAGAATGTCTGACTTCCAAACTTGTAAAGAAGTAAGAGAAACAAAGCTTGATCAGTCCAATACAATGGAAGAAAGGAGAAAAAAGGAACAAAAAAGGAAAATCATGGCAAATAGAACATATGAACTAAGGTGATTAAATAATACCAAAATGAAAACGCGTTAAACAATACTGTTCAAACACAGAAATTCCCAGATTAAAGCACAAAGCCAGCTACGTGTTTTTTAAAAAGAGGCATGTTCAGTGCCTTTTGCGAGGGCAGGCTGACTGGACTAGCGACTCCGACTGTAAATAACTAGGAAGGGAAGAACGCGTAAGAAAGAACTTGTTTTCAGACGCTGAACAACAAGACGACACGTACTGAACACACACCTCGGGGAGAGGACGGACCTGAGCTGGCCCGTGGCCCTGGCTTTCGACCTGAGGCACTTTCCACGGCTTGTCTTCCTGGGACAAGCACATGGGATTCGAGGACTGGGTGGGAGGGGAACTGGGGCAGCTGGAAATTGCAGGGCAGAGTAAGAGAGAAGAGAAGCTAAGGAGAGAAAGACCTCCCGTGCAAGACGTGGACAGACTGCAGATTAAGAAGGGAGTAGAGATTGAGGCTCTCTGAGAAAGGCAGGCCCTGTACGTTGGGATAGTTAAGACATTTAGTTTTAATTTAAAATGATCAAGTTGATTTGGTTTCATTGGCCAATCATCAGAGTTGATAATTTACCAAATTAGTTATAACTAATACTTTTAGTTTAAAACATTTAGTTTTAAACCAAATAGATTTAAGGGAATTTTTCTTGTTACGGCGCAGGGAATTAGCAATAACCGCCAGGAAACAAGGCAGCGGGTCTGGGCTCATGGGCCCTGCACAGCCTCACAGAGCCCCCAACCCCCCAGAATGACACTGAGCAGCAGGAGGGACCCAAGGACGCAAAAAGGGCCAGCATGTCAGCAGACAGAGCTGCATGTATGTGACATTCCACACCCCAGGTGCCTTGCTTGCCCCACCCCACCCCCGATCCCAGCCCTGCATGGAGAGGCCCTGGAAATGAGATGGAGCCAGATGGAGACAGACGCCACATGAAGGAGGGCTGAGGAACCCCCTGAAGCGCCAGCTGCATGAGAGCAGTACGTGACCCCAGCTGACATTATGTGGAGCAGAATGACCAGACGAGCCACAGCATCATGGAAAGCACAAGCCATGTGTTTGAAGCCACTAGGTTTGGGATGGTTTGTTACACGGCAATAGCTAACCCGAGTCACCTTCCTCACACACCCCAAACTCAGATGTGACTCAAGAGAAACGAGAAAGCCTGCATTGAGTATGTTTCTACCATTTGATAGACTAAAGACTTGTACCATCCATTACATTCCAATTACAGAAAAAGAATTAATGTTGCTTTTCTCATATATTTGAATATGTCAGAAATTCACATCTTCTCCACCTACTGTGTGAAAACAAAGCTGCCTCCTCACTGTGGAGGTAGCAGGCACCCCTTGTCCTTCCTTGTACCCTTAGCTCCTTCTTTTGCTATCAGTGCCCCCCTTTTCACTTCGACAAACTACCCCTCCTGCATTCTGTGGGCACCAGAGGAACTTCAGGCAGAGTGCCCGGGCACAGCACTGGCCAGTTCAGCCTTCTCTCCCAGAACCCATGAGCACAAGGGCTAAGAGCCATCTGGCCGTGTCGTTTCGGTGGCCAGGGACCTGCCCGGAGTTTCCTGCTGCCCGAGACGCCTGTGCCTGCCCGGCTCCTCTCCTGCTCTCTGCCTGTCGCTGAATTCAGTCCGAATTGCTTTCCATTGTCCGTCCTCAAAGAACGAGCCCGAGGATACATGGCGTGGCCTGTCAGGGCAGAAACTCAGTGGTGTGCTGAAGATTTCTCAGTGGGGAGGTCACATGGTTGAACCATGTGTTGGCCTGGTCACCTGCAGTTCTTGCCAAAAGGATCATTTGAGCGAGGAGCACTGATTTATCTGAATGGAAGCCTGTCAGCGACGCTCCGGAGAAAGGCACCCTCCTGGCCCGGCGCCCCGGGCCCTGTGCTTCCCTTCGGCCTCCCCAGCTCTCCTGTTCTTTGTGCGATTCCAATGTCAGTCTAGCTTGTGTTTTCTTCCCACCAACCCGCCAGCAGCAGCAAGCACAATGCCAGGCTCATCACAGGTTTTAATTAGGGATGGACTGATCGGGCTGATCTGCTCCTGAGTGTCTCTGGCCCAAGACTCCCAGCAACGCCCACGTGCCCCACGACAGTCCCACTGGGTGCATGCAGGATGCAGCTGTTCCTAAGGCGACAGTGAGGTGCCAGGGCCCCGGCTGGGGGCGTTTTGGGTGGGCACATGAGTTGTGGCTGGGAGTGCCCTGAACCAGCACTGGGAGCTGAGCTCTCAGGTGAGGGAACCTGGTCACGGAGGCCTGGCTCCAGTGCCCGCCCCATGCAGGCCCTGGGGGAGGCCCCCGCGTGCCACACATTACCGTTTCTGCAGGACGGTGACAAACTCGGAGAGCCGGTCACGCTCCACCTCAGCGGCCTGCCAGAGGGCCTTCACCTCCGCCACGCGTGCCTGCCAGCCTTTCTGTTCTGGGGAGTCCAAGAACCTGGGGCCAGGGTGGAGGGCAGAGGGCACAGGTCAGCCGAGGCCTGCAAATAACACTTACCCCTGTGATGGTGGGAGAAAGGAGGACACTTGGGGGTTCTCAGAGACAGCCAGAGTGAAGGACGCAGCCCAGTCCCTCTGGGTCCTCCCTCCTGGCTGCTTAGCCCACCACTGCTGGTCCTGCTCAAGGTCCTAGGCCTCCCACGCTGGCTCCGAGGCTGAATCCTACCAGAACCAGAGTTACACTGTCCACCCCAGCCCTGCGGAGGCCTGCAGTTAGTCAGAGGCTTTGGCAGCTGGCTCCTGGGGACCTGGGGGGCCCCCGTCTCCGTGTCCCTGCCAGTCTCTCCCAGCCCGCCTGCATCTTCTGGCTTGGTCCCCAGCCCACCTTCCCACAGCCTGGGCACCTGGCTCTGCGAGGTGTTCAGTTTTCTCCAGCCCTGAGCCAACCTGCCCCTGCTTCCCTCTTACCACTGGGCCTGCCTACCAGCCTTGACCTGCTGGCTGGAGCCGGGGACAGAAGGTAACTCTGCCCCCCAGAGCCCACAGGTGAGTTCCAAGCTGCTCTCTGCTGTGCCCCAACTTTTCCTAGTGAGACTCTGAGCTCACTTTTCTAGCGATGTGGGTTCGGGGAGCTGTAGAGCTGGGCAGTGTCCTGAGAACCGGGCTGGTGCGTGTGACCCCAAGGGCTGACTTCTCTGTGGTCCTGGGCAGCTCGCTTCCCCTCTCCTGGCCCCAGTTCTCCCACAAACATGGAGAGGGGTGGTTGAGATGGGCTTCAGGAACTGCAGACCCCTCTGGGACTCCTAAACATGCTCTAAGGTCTTGCTACTCCGGTGGTCTCTGAATCAGTGGCTCTGGTGTCACCTAGCAGCTTGTTAGAAAGGCAGTCCCAGGCTCTCCCCCAGACCTACCGATCGCAGGGGCCGTGTGCGCTGCCGTCTGGAAAGCCCCACTGCTCCCCGATTCTCAATGTCCAACTCTTCACCCTGCCCTCCCCCGACCAGAGGTGCCAGAAGGGAGTGGTTCACGCCACGCATTCTCTGAGGTCACTCTGCCCTGTGAACTCCTGCCCGTGAGCTCCATGAGAGCAGGGCCCACGCGTGCGTGGCTGGGGTCGGTGTTTGTGCGCTGTGGGGGGAACACTCCTGAGAACCGGCTGCCTGGGCGGCCGCCGGGCAGAGCAGCTCCTGTATCCCTGTGCCGTGCAGAGGTCCCAGCCACGCAAGCCTGGAGGGGCTCTAACGGCTCCTCTTTCTGATCCCAGAACTGTGACTGAAACCTGAGACAAGCCTGCCGTTCTCCCTGTGCTGTGGCGAGGCCTTCCACCCGCAGGAGTGTGGCACGCGCCTGGCGGCCCACTCTCCCCAAGTGCCCGTGACCCCGGCCCGACGGGGAGGCAGCTTTGGCCCACAGACCCTGTGCTGCCAAGTGTCAGCAGCGTGACTCCCCCCACTTTTGGAGGACAGCAGCCCAGACAAGGCCCAGTTTCCTGGAGCCACAGGGATGAGGGGCTGGGGCCATGCAGAGGCCTTGCCTGGAACCTGAGCTGACCTGCCTGAGGGTCAGGGCGGGGAGTGCTGATGGCAGGGGCATGGCTCCAGCGGACGGCGGGCAGGGTGGCCACAGGGCTTAGAGGCAGGACAATGCCGCCCTTTGTCTCCCGAGGCAGGAGGAACAAAGGGCCATTCACACCCTCTAGCTTGATTCTATCAACAAAGAGGGGCCCAAGAGCTCAGGGGATATCAGCGGGAACTCATAGCATGTGGAATTCTCCCTCACAGGCTCATTCTCAGTGAGCAAGAGAAGGTGAGGGAAGGTGCTAGAAGCCAGGCCCAGGAAGTTCCTCACGTTAATTCTCAGGTAGCAGGTAGGAACCCTAGCCCCGGGGTCAGAGGCCAAGATCCCAGCTCTGAAGCTGCTGACTCCGTCACCATGGACAAAACACTAGACTTCCCTGATCCTCTGTGCCCTTATGTGACCTTGGAAGAGTCCCTGGGCTTTGCCTGGACTCAGTTTCCCCTCCTTTCGATGGGATGGGAATACCGGTTGAGCAATCCAGAATGGGAAACACTGAGGGTCTGGGGTCAGGGTCCATACCTAGGCGAGCTCCTGTGGGGACTGGGCAGGGAAGGCCTCGTGAGAGCAGATTCCACCAGTGTGTGGCCCAGGCTGGTCACAGAGCTGTGCGGAGGCAGAGAGGGTTGTCAGCCTGGGAGGCAGGCGGGCCCCGCTGGGCCTCACCTCCACCCGTGAGGGAGAGACAGGGCGGCAGGGGTCCTGTGCATTCGCTGCCCTTCTTTCCAGAACTCCTGCTTGCTCAAAATGAGACAGAACAGGAGGCGCAAAAGCCTTCACAGCCCATCAGAGGTCTGTGTGAGGGTCCCGAGGGCAGAAAACTGTTGAGGCCCGCTCAGAGAGGCTCTCACAGGGAGCCGCATCTGGCCTGCTCTGAAGCCAGAAGCTCTGGACCCAACGGGTTCACTCCCGCAGACGCAGAGCCCACGCCACGGACAGGCTCACGCACCGGCGGAGCCACGGCCAAGTCATCCTACCATTGCACCCGTGGCTTCCCATCGGAGGTGGCGAGAAACCAGCTTTCTTCTGAATGATTCACATTCACTTTCCAGCCCTCCATCCCACGGCTTTCTTACCGAGAAGACCCCAGCCTGCCAGCGCGGTCACCGGCCGAGGTCGGGCGCTTGGCCAGGTCTGGGTCCTCCAGGAACTGGGCACAGGCAGGGCTGACCTCAGGAACGCCGGGCCCCTCGCCCGCTCCATTATTCCGAAGATACTGTAGGAACAGATGTGGGTTCCATCCTCAGGGCTTTGGCTCAGAGGCCTAGAGAAGGCAGGAGGGGACCCTGGCTGCATTTCGGGGCTTTCAGAGGATATGAAAGAGGCTTCTTTTCAGGAGTGAAAGGCGAGGCCTGTTTGGTGAGGACGTTGCTTGCATGATAACGATGTCTAATAATGCCTCTCTTCAGAAAGAAAGCTACATGGTGTGAGGACGGTGACCGGGCCAGGAAGTTGCTCTGTGCTCTGGTTCCAGAGGAGGTTTATGGCCTCACACGCCGGGCAGCTACAGACTGACTCTCTGAGTGGGCCCACTTCCCCACGCGGCTCCACCCACGTGTGGATGAACTCCGGTGTGACTTGAGGCCAGCTGCCTTACTCAGCTGGACACCTGGACCTTCCAGACACCTGCGGCCAGAGAGGCTGGCCGGACCTCCGTGAGGGCGGGCAGCCTTGGGTGGAGGCTGAGCCTGCCAGGCCCACACCCCTCCCTCAACCCCTTCCTCTTCTGGATACCTGTGGGGGCTGGGCTGACAGGAACATTAGAGGACCCCCAGCGGGAGGTCGGGCCCCCAGAGGGGACAGCGGGTGTGTGCCCCTAACAACCTGCTTGTCCCCCAGTCCCACCCATTCTGAGAAAACTTGAAACGTGTGCAGACTTGTCTGGTGGGTGATCTTGGCCCCATTCAGCTGGTGACCTTGGAGGTAGGAACAGTCTCCTGCGTGCCTGGAGAAAGCGGTGAGGTGAGGACACTGGAATGTTCCTGTGTACCCCTCAGACTTCCCACCCCAGTGACCCAGGATGGGGAGCAGGGTGAGGACTGCAAGGCCGCGTCCCCACCCACTGCCCTGTGTGCTCTGTTCCCAGAACTCCCTGTGCCCCCAGGCTCCCCTTCGGCCTGGCCACACTCTGTCACAGCCAGTCCTGCCTGGGAGCCTGTGGGGATAGAGGCCACAGGGCAAAGCAGTGCCAGCCGACGCCAGCCTGAGGCTGGGCCTAGACAAACCACAGATCCCCAGAAACAAAGGGCAGGCCTGCTTTGCAACGTGCCTGTAGCTGAGCCCGTCAATGTCCCAGTGGGCCAGAGGCTGCAAGGCTCCTTTGCCACTGGGAGACCCGTGTGCCTGGCAGGAACTCCTCGCCAAGAGCACCACCCAGCCCCAGCACCGCCCCAGGGAGGAGCTACAGGGAGGTAAAGCAGCCTTCGAGGCACCTGCCGAGACAAAGTATCTTCACAAGCTCACGGCTTCCACGAGCATTTACTGAGCATCTACTGAGCATCTACTCCGGGCTTGGTCCAGTGCCAGGTGCCAAGGCACCCCAGCCTGTGCTCTCTCACAGGCAGAGCAGGGGAGAAGACAGGAAGATGACCCCGTGGTGTGACAGAAGTTTGGCTGGCGGTGTGTAGGGAGTCAGGAGCGTGCCTGGGAGGGCATGTAACACAGAACAGGGGCCCCGGAGCTTCCTGGAGGAGCTCCCGGCTAGGTAAGACCTGAAGGCTGACGGGCAGCTGTGCAGAGGGAGGGGGCGTGTGTCAAGCTGTGCCCAGCCCGGGGCTGCGTGAGGGGCTGAATGGTGCCTGGGCAGCCGCAGTGTGGGGAGGGGGCACGTGGTGCCCAGAAGCTGAACAAGGGCGCTTTCCTTCACCCACCCGGCTGCTGGGGCTGCTGCCACCATCTTGAATCCTGAGGACGAGGCCACCACTGGTAAAGGGTAAACTGGAAGGTGCTGGGTCCGCGAGGACCAGGTGAGGTCGTGGTGACAGTAAGCCATGAACAGAGTTTAAGGAGAGCAAGGACCTGATGAGGTCTGTGTGCAGAGTGCGCTGGGAGCCAAACAGAAGCAGGCATCCAAAGCGGAGCCGAGGAGACGCAGTCCAGCCCGAGCCAAGGTGAGCAGAAAGGGGGAGGCGGCTGGGGCTGCACCCGCGCCCTACTCACCTGCACACCAAGTCGCCCGACCTCCATCTCCAGCTGCTGCACTCTGGCCTCCCGCTCGGCCACCATGGCCTGCAGCTGGGCCACAAGGCTGCTGTTCCGTTGGGCCTCGCTGTTCAGCTGCTGGTCCACATGGTGCTGGGACAGTCGCGTCTTCTCCTCCTTCAGACTCAGGCTGCCGAGGGTCTCCTGTAGCTGCCTCAGCTGGTCCTGGGGGGGGCCGGGCAGGAGGGCAAGGTCATGTATTTTAATCCCACCTCAGAGATGGGGACACTAAGGCTCAGATTCATTACATGACTTGTCTGAGACCATCCAGCTGAGTTCCAGCTGGGTGCGCTGGCTGTAAAACCTTCCTTGATGGGTGAGGCCACACTGTTTCCTAAGCCTACAGCTTGGGCTTTTCTCTGTGGGACCCGAGGCACCAGAGTTTGGTGTCAGACTCCAGGTTGTGCCTGCAGGCCTCGGAGGGTGATCATGTCTGGTGTGGCTGGGCTGTTTGGGGGTGCTGAGACTCCATGATATGGAGTCAGTCATGTTCCTTGGGCAGGGGAGGACAAGGACAGACTGCCTCCCTCAGCCCAAAGCAGCCTGCAGGAACCTAACAGTGGGACCCTGTTCCCTTGACAGGCAAAAACACCTTCCTTGCCTGCCATGAGCCTGTCCAGCCAGGCGGGTGGGGACCATGTACTTTTCCCCTCCTTAACCTCCGTCTCTGAGTTTGGGGCCAAGGAGGGGATCGAAGGGCTCCTGGGACAACGAAAAGCAGATCAGATGGGTCCTCACCCTGGGGGATAGGGGGAGCAGATCAGATGGGTCCTCACCTGGGGTGGGGAGCAGATCAGATGGGTCCTCACCTGGGAGGGGGAGCAGATCAGATGGGTCCTTACCTGGGGGGGTCGGGGGGGAGCAGATCAGGTGGGTCCTCACCTGGGGTGGGGAGCAGATCAGATGGGTCCTCACCTGGGAGGGGGAGCAGATCAGATGGGTCCTCACCTGGGAGGGGGAGCAGATCAGATGGGTCCTCACTTGGGGGGGGGGAGCAGATCAGATGGGTCCTCACTTGGGGGGGGTCAGGGGGAGCAGATCAGATGGGTCCTCACCTGGGGGGGTCGGGGGGAGCAGATCAGATGGGTCCTCACCTATCCATGGGGTGGGGGGAGGTATTTAGCTCACAGGAAAGCCTGATCCCGCTTGGCTGGGAGACTACCCTGCCAGGGACCCATTAGCACCCGACTGAAGCCCCATCCCAAGGAAATGCCCTCAGGAGACTCCAGGCAAAGGCTTCCTGCCCAGGCCAGCAGAAAGGAGGAGGTCAGTGGTGTGGAACAGGAGGGCTGCTGTCCTCCCCTCAGAGCGGAGGAAACTGAGGCCCAGAGAGCCCAAGGGCACGTTGCCGGTGAACAGCATGACTGGGCCAGTGTGCAGCTCTCATCATGCCACCTCCAATGACACAGAATGGTGACATGCAGGGACCTCAGAGGACACCCAGCCCTGAAACTTATTTTTCAAGGTGGCTGCTGAGCCTCAGGGAGGGGAGGCTATGGCCTGCGGTCACACAGCGAGGTGTTGGCAGAGGCAGGCCTACATTTTAGGTCTTCTGTGCCCGGCCCCCACCCTGCCGTGTCAAGTGATCATGACCTGAGCCAGCACCCCCAAACAGCCCAGCCACACCAGACATGATCACCCTCCGAGGCCTGCAGGCACAACCTGGAGTCTGGCACCAAACTCTGGTACCTTGGGTCCCACAGAGAAAAGCCCAAGCTGTAGGCTTAGGAAACAGTGTGGCCTCACCCATCAAGGAAGGTTTTACAGCCAGCGCACCCGGCTGGAACTCAGCTGGATGGTCTCAGACGAGTCATGTAATGAATCTGAGCCTTAGTGTCCCCATCTGTGAGGTGGGATTAAAATACATGACCCTGGAAGTTACCTTGGGGACTAAGTTATGAAGTGCCCAGAAGGACAAAGGCTCTGTGCCAGGACAGAGACAAGAACTGGTACCAGCTCCGTCACCCCTGTCATTCCTGCTGAAGAATAACCTAGGCCATGATCCCACCTCCTCCCCCAGTAAGTTTTTGTCTCTTTTGGGGTCCATCGGCCTAGTGCCTGTGCCTGGCACTGCTCCATCACAGCCCCCCACGTGCCCACAGGCAGTCTCTGAGCTGCTCCTGTCCCTGGGGCTTTGTGCTGGGGGCCATCTGGAGGCAGCGGGCTTCAGGGTTACACAGTGGCATCGAGGCATGAGTGAGGGCTCCCTCTGGCCAGGGCTGGGGCCCATCCTTTGGGGACCAGCGCTGGCTCCCACCCTGCCTGAGCGGCGGGGCCATACCATGAGGGCGTCGATGAGCTCATCGTCATGCCGGCCCTTCTCCACCAGGGTCCCCATCTGACTCCTGAGGGTCTTCACCTCACTCGCCAGCACCTTGTTCCGAGACCTCAGGCCCTCACACTTCTTTTTCAGGTCCTCAAGCTCTCTCTGGAGGGCGTCCCGCTCACTGGCAAGTTTCTGTAATTAGAAAGTGAGGGCAGCAGGGCTGTGTGGGGCCTTGGCCACGTCCGCTCCCTGGCTCCCACTCGGTGGCACGGCCCAGGGCTGCGCTGGGGGTGCTTGCTGAAGGCCACAGAGCCAGTCACTAGAGCCAGGGCCCTGAGCCCCAGCCCAGGCCTCTCAGGGACGTCAGGTGGCCAGCAGCCCCCCATCCTCGCCCCAGCACACGACAGCACTGACGAATGACAGCACTCCCCACCTCCGCCCGAGACGCGGGCTTCCTGCACGTGAGAGGGAAGCCAGCCAACTGCGTGTGTCCTCCAGAGAGCGCGGCCAGGGCTGCTTGTAAACCTCCCCACGCTGGGGAAAGGAGAAAAGCCACACTTCAGAGAACGTGCTGGGCCAGGCTCCCGCTGCAGCACCTCGCCCCACCAGGAGCCGGAATGAGAAGGGAGGGTCTGTCCCCACGTCCTCCGTGGCCAGTTGGCACAACCCCTGACCGCACCTCGCTTTGCCAGCTACCAGCTGGAAACTCAGCGCAGCACCTGTCTTTGGAGTCCCTCACTCACTCACCCCTTCATTCTCAAGGGTTTCCTGAGGGCCTACTATGGGCTGAGTGTTGCTTTACAGATGCCGGGGGACAGCAAAAAGCAAAACAGTCCTTATCCTCAAGGAGCTGACATCCTAATGGAGGAGACAGAGAACACCCAATGGTAACAGACGCGAATTTGAAAGCAGGAAACAGGATCCTCGAGACGGTGTGGTCAGGGAAGGACTCTGCACAGGTGGCGTCTGAGCAGAGACGAAGGAGAGAGGGGAGAGCAGGGGCCCTGGGCGGAACATGCGTGGCGGGGGCACCGCGAGTGGACGGGCAGGGGCTCAATCAGGCAGACCCTACAGACAAGCTGGAGACCCAGGGAGGAGCTCGGGCATTGGTTGACGCCAGCGGCTTGGTCCCGAAGGTGACTCATTGCTGGAAAAGTGTTTTCATGTCCTTGATGAAGTGAATTATAGAAATGTGAAGCAAGCATGAATCCGCAGGACGCAAGCCCTCTGCAGGGGGCACTCCTCACCGGCTGCCCGCCTGCCTACATGCTCGAGGCTGCCACAGGTGCCTGGCAGAGGGAAAGCGAGCAGGAAGCCGTTTCCTTCCTCCAGCCTCTGCAGCCTGGGTCAGCCCAACTGCCCAACATCATCTGAACTGCGCGGCGTGTAAGTCCAAGTGAGGTGCGTCTGAAACCCAGCGCCTCCGAATCTCAGCTCCGTCTCCGCTTGAACCCACCCTGCCTCCCTTGCCCAACTGCCGTACTCCTAGAAGCCCTTTAGGACTCTTCCTCCTCCTCCCTCTTCCAAGTCCAATCAGTCCTTGAGCCCCGGGAAGTCTGTGCGCACAGTCCCGGTGCCTGGCCCTTCCACAACAGTCCGCCGCCTCGGCGAAGGTCCTCGGGCGTCTCCGGCACCACCACTCCACCTCCCACCCATTCCTCCTCTTGCTCCAACCCTGTGACCTTTCAAACGGACAGTTGACCACCTCCCTCCACAACTTAAAACCCTTTGGTGGGCTGGGTGTGATGGCTCACGCCTGTAATCCCAACACTTTGGGAGGCTGAGGTAGGTGGATCACCTGAGGTTAGGAATTTGAGACCAGCCTGACCAACAGGCTGAAAACCCGTCTCTACTAGAAATACAAAAATTAGCTGGGCATGGTGGCAGGCACCTGTAATCACAGCTACTTGGGAGGATGAGGCGAGAGAATCGCTTGAACCCCAGAGGCAAAGGTTGCAGTGAGCCGAGATCACACCACTGCACTCCAGCCTGGGTGACAGAGCGAGACTTCGCCTAAAAAAGCAAAAACAAAAACCCTTTGGTGGTTCTCCACAGCCTTCAAGACACAGGCCAAAAGTCCTGGCTGGCATAAAAGGCCAGCAGGCCCTGGCCCTCTGCGGTCTCACCGTTCCCTCCTCACAGCTGATGGTCCAGAGTGCGGGAGGTGCAGCGTGGCCAAGGTCACAGCGTTCCTAACACAGGGCCTGGCCCAGAGTCGGGGCTCACAGGCAAAAGTCTCCTGATGGAAAGGCAAGGCCTCACCGTCAGGTACCTTGCTGCCAGGGCCACGGAAGTGGGCTGTTGTGTGGCCTCCCTGCACCTCTTCCTGCTGCTTCTGCTGCCTTCTGTAAAGGGGCCCCCACTCCCCACTCTCACGGCAAGTTTGGGGAGGCTAACTCATCCCCCAGACCTCGGGGCAGGTATCTGAAGCTCGACCAATCAAAACACCCCATACTCCTGGCCACAGGGATGGACCCAGGGATGGCCACAGGACCCAAGCTAGACCGAAGACACTCAGTTGAGGACTTTGTTGGAACTATTTGGAAAGAGAAGGCGTTTGTCTGTGGAGGCTGCACTGGAGGAGGGAAGCTGGGACTAGCCAGGGTCCCTGTGGAAGAGAGCAAAGCCAGCCTGGGAGAAGGTGGTGCTGCCAGCAAGGCCCTGCTCTGCAGCTGAAGCCAGGCCCCTTCCGGGTTGTTTGTTTATACGGACCAGTAACTTCACTGTTGCTTAAACCCGGTAGAGTTAGAGTTTGATGTGCCCAGTGCAGCCAGTGAGATACGGCCCCCGATGCTGAGTCCAGCCTGCCCACCTCTTGCATCAGCCTGGGACTTTCCTCCTTGGAGCTGCATCTAACCCTCTCAAACTTCTGGGGCCGCGACCCTCTCACTCTCCCTTTTACAATGGGAGAATTTCAGGTACAGCATCTCCGAAAGAGCCAGGATGGGGCCAAGCAAAGTTGACTGAATGGGCTCACAGTGAGGCCCCAGTTAGGCACCTCAGGCTGGTTTGACAGGACGTAAGGAACACGCAGAGGTGACCCAGGTCCCCAGGAGACTCCTGCCTAGAAGGGGTGGCTCAGACTTCTGACCACGCGTGCCCTGAGCCCTGCAGGCACCATCGGGATCTCCCGCTCCCACAGCCCTGACTCCTCCCTGGGCAGGCGTTACCTCCAGGCCTTCCTGCTTCTCCCTCTCCAAGCCGCGGATCCTCTGCAGGTGTTTCTCCTGTGCCGACAGCTTCCTCGGGTCTGGATACACAGACAACTCATCACTGGCTGTTCCTGCAGACTGGCTCCGGGCCTGGCCCAGCTGCTTCTCAAGCTCTCGAACCTGAGGGTGGTAAAACCCATCGTTCACAGTGGAGCTGCAGCCCGCCCCTACTAGTGTGATCAGAGACCCCACAGACTGAAGACGGAACCGCGTCTCCAGATGGCTGTGGAAGCCCCATCTGAGGAGGACGAGGGCTGGGGCGCGATCTGAGCTAGCATCCTGAGCAGCTCAGTGGAAGGCACCAGGCAAGTTCAGCTTAGAAAAAAGAGAACATCACCCTATCTCTCAGGGGCTGTCAGGCTGGGAAGCACAGCTGTGGCCCCAGGAACCTGGGAGGGGTAGGATGGCAGGTCTCAGATCAAGAAAGAACTTTCTTATTTTATTTGTTTAGAGACAGAGTCTTGCTCTGTTGCCCAGGCTGGGGTGCAGTGGTATAATCATGGTTCACTGTAATCTCTGCCTCCTGGGCTCAAGCAATCCTCCCACCACAGCCTCCTGAGCAGCTGGGACCACAGGCACATGCCACCATATATAATTTTTGTATATATATATATTTATATATAATTTTTGTATATATATACTTATATATACATATAATTTGTATATATTTATATGTATAAATATATATACACAAATACAAATTTGTGTATATATTTTTATATATGCATATATACACAAATTATATGTATATATACATATATATATTTATATTTATATATACACATATAATTTGTGTATATATATTTATAGATATTATATATACACATATACATATAATTTGTGTATATATATTTATATCTATAAATCTATATCTATATCTATAAATATATATACACAAATTATATGTATATATACAAAAATTAAATTATTTTGTATATATATTGTGTGTATACGTGTGTGTGTGTGTTTGTGTGTGTGTATATATGTGTATATATATATATACACACACACACATATATATATTGTAGAGACAGGTTTCACCATGTTGCCCAGGCTGGTCTTGAACTCCTGGGCTCAAGTGATCTGGCCACCTCAGTCTCCCAAAGTGCCAGGCAAGGAGGAACTTTCTACTGACAGACCACCTAAGACTGGGTAGGCCCCTCAGGAGGTGGAGGTCACTTACAGGAGGTGCTGCAGAGGTTACACAGGATTTGGAAGCAGAGAGACTGGCTCACAGCCTCACGGACCATGTGACTGCCTACGGGTGGCCTCTCTGAATCTCAGTTCCCTCACCTGAGAGCACGCCCTGCGTAACACTGTCACGTGAGGCTGTCTGAGCCTGGGAATCCTCTGAGGTTCTTGGACTGACCTATCTTGGCACTCACTCCAGATCAACAAACTAGAGTTCTAGGGGAAGGGCCCCGGCATCTGCATTTTAAATGCTAAGGTGATTTTTAGGATTAGGTAACTCTGTACAATCCCAAGACGGTCCAGGTGAAGCCATCAACACAGCCTGGCCACGGCAAGTGGCAGATAGAAGTCATCCCACAGAACAATGCCCCTATCACCCTGGTCACCCTGGTCATCCTGGTAACCCTGGGGTAGAAGCAGACAACTCCTAGGGTCCTTCCGACCCTGGTTTCTGTGTCAACGCAACAAAATGACGGAACAGCGCTGGTTAACTTGAGCCAGGAAAGGAAGCACAATTCACTAGGCTCTCCGGCCAAGGGTGGGAGCACAGCTTGGCAGCACCCGTCAGTGCCCTTGTGTGGCGCTGTGTGGCAATTCCACTCAGTCATTAAAGAACACTGTTGCCTTTAAGAATTCGACATACAACTTAATGACAATAAGAAATTGTTTCGTCTTGGCCGGGCGCGGTGGCTCAAGCCTGTAATCCCAGCACTTTGGGAGGCCGAGGTGGGTGGATCACGAGGTCAAGAGATCGAGACCATCCTGGTCAACATGGTGAAACCCCGTCTCTACTAATGGTGCAAAAAATTAGCTGAGCATGGTGGCGTGTGCCTGTAATCCCAGCTACTCCGGAGGCTGAGGCAGGAGAATTGCCTGAACCCAGGAGGCGGAGGTTGCGGTGAGCCGAGATCGTGCCATTGCACTCCAGCCTGGGTAACAAGGGCGAAACTCCGTCTCAAAAAAAAAAAAAAAAAAGAAAAAGAAAAGAAGTTGTTTCGTCTTATTATGGCCCGGCACTGTACTAGGTGCTTTACAAATGTTATCTGATGTCACCCCATTTCACAGGTGTGAAGATGAAGACACAGGAACATGAAGGGATTTGCCCAAGGCTGCCGAGCTGGCAGAGCAGTGGGCAAACCTCAGCTCAGGTATCTAGAGCCCCAAAGCCATGCACGGGTCACCATCAGCTTCCTGGAGTTGTCCCCCTCTATATTGGCTTCCAGGACCCCATGGCAGAGACGAAGACCAAAGCCACTGGGAGCCTTGAAGTCCCCGGGAACAAGGGTGACATGCTTGGCAAAGAGCGGAAATCACAGAGCTGCTCACGGGCCTCTCGGCTGAAGGGCAAAGGTGGGAAAACCACACGTAACCTTCAAGCAGTGCTCCCTCCGTGCCAGGCCTGCGCTGCGTGCCTTCCGACTCAACTCTCCCAACAACCCTGTGGGGTAGGTACCGCTATTATCCCCATTACACAGATGAAGAAACTGAGGCACAGAGCTAAAGAAACTTGCTTGAGGTCACACAGCTGGTGAGCAGAGAGCTGGGATTTGAACCTGAGCCGCAGGGCTCCAGAGCCCCCGCCGTCAGCCTCTTTTGGTATGCTCCAAAATATTCAGATAATAAAGAGGAAGACAAGGCTAAGTTTTATTGGGTAATTAAAACTTTCAAAAGACTACAAGCATCTGGACAAAACTGGAAAAAGCTTACAACAGTCACGCAAAAATTTCCATGAACTAGAAAAAGAAGCCTGGAGTAAAATAAATCAGCCAAAGGCGTCAGCATTGCGAAGCTCCAGTACCTGGCGTGTGGTGTTATGTAAGAGCCTGTTCATTAAGTAACGGATTGAAATCAGGCTGGCTGGTGAGAAGGTGACGCAGCAGCCTGCACGGCTGCACCGTGAGACCTAAAGCCCTTTCCTGGGTACTGTGCACCGAAGTCTCTAAGGGGTTCAGGGCAGGTCTTTCCGGGATGTTCTAAATCCTTAGAAGTCTGATGACTCACCCACCTTGCTTTGCAAAACGAGAATTTGTTGAGCCCGACCCCTCCAGGTCCCCGGCAAGGACAGGAGCTGCTGGACATCGACGCCTTCCCCGACCTCGCTGGCCAAAACCTGAAATAAGGCACGGCCTTCAGTGCGGCCAGAAGAGAGGCTCCAACAGACCCTGGCACATTTGGAAGCAGCCTTCACCTACACAATCTTCTTCCATCCCAGAGCGCAGCCCTCCAAGGTCAGTCTTCCATGTCCCAAGGGCAGCTCTCCCTGGGAAAGTAGTGAACCCATCATCCCTGGCATTTCTTGTTAGTGCTTAGAGCAACCAAGAAACGCCAACCAGGCCCAGATCGGGCCCTTTGCTCCTGACCTATTCTGGGACGGCTGAACCGCAAAGCTGACCAGCACCTGCTTCCTTAACCCATTCAGCTGCCACCTTGAGCTGAGCTAATTCTGGCTATGGGAAGTGCATCGCCACAGAGCCCTGCCCTCTGTGAAAAGCCACAGGCAAGTGGACCTGAGTGCAGCAAAGGTGGGCTACTGAATGTCAGCTGGGACACCGTGGTCCGGGAAGGGCCCAGCTTTGCAGCTGCTGACGGGCGGCACCCTCCCAACCTCAAGGCTCTGAGACAGAAACAATACACTCAGCTTGTGACCTGGGCCCCTCTGAGGCTGTCACAGAAACCCCATCCAGCACACCAAGCCTCTGGCGCTTGCTTCCACAATAGAACACTGTTTTGGAAATCTTGGCCAGTCTGAGTGGTTCCAGCAGGGAAGACAAATGCCAGAGAATTCGCTATGTAAATAAAAATAAGTAACGAACCAGCTGGGCCTGTGTCCCAAGTCTGAGCATTTTCCTTTGAAAGGGTCCTTGAATACACAGTAACCTATTCACGTTCTGTTACAGATAGCAGAGCAGAAGGCAGAGCTTGGCAGGCTTCCAAGTTAAGGGTGACATTCAGGGGGGACCCAGGATCTGCTGGGGCACGAGGAGTCAGAGAAGGCTTAATGGACAGGTGGACTCAGTCCAGAGTTGGGCAGGCATCACAAGGCATGTGTGCTGCGGGTGGGGACCGAGGGCTGGTGGGAGGAAGGACCAGACCTGGAGCCTGACCCAGAGCAAGCAGTATGCTCACGGGGCTGGGCACTCAGGCTCCAGAATGGAACCCACGGTGCCAGCCATGTGCTTCCCAAGTCCAGCCCCAGCCCCGGCTCTGAAAGACCTTCTGTGCCACCCGCAGCTCCTGCTTCACAGACTGGATCTGGTTACGGAGGTCACTCATCTTCAAGGTGGTGGCCGCCAGCCTATCCTGCAGGGCCTTCACCTCTGGGGTCTCCCGCTGTGGGGAAGGACAGGAGAGAAAGTAGTCACCATTGCCGACGTGGGAATAGTCATCATAGCCCCCATTTACCCAAGTCTGTGCCAGGCACTGTGCTAAGTGTTTGGCATGGAGTGACTCATTTAATCCTCACGAAGCCCTGTCAGGTAGGTTCTCTCATAGGTAAGCCCCTCCTAGGTGCAGAATGGAGGTTGGTGGAAGGCCAGTCCTCTACTTGGGCTGACAGGTTAATCAAGGTGGAACCTGGATTTGAATCCTGGCAGCTTGGCTCTGGGGCTGGGCTTTCTACAGAGCGTTGCACACACGTGGGTTCAGGCCTTGCCCTAGAGGGGGAGCATCTGCAGAGAGCTGCGGTGCCACACATCCCAGACACTTCCCGGTGTGGACCCTCCGCTGTGCTCCGAGATCCACATGGCAGCTAAGCCACCTCCCTCACAATATAGAGGAAACCCTGTTATTCCCAGAAGGCAACCCAGCGTGGCAGGAGTCCGGCACCCTAATTCAGGGCCCGCCTCTCCCAGAACTGTCAGCGTGGACCTCTTTCCTAGCGGTGACCACTGAACAGAAATAAGGACCCATATTAATTTCCAAATGCTCATCTCTGTGGCTTGAAGAACTGCAGCAAGCCACATGAAAACTGCCCGCTGAAACTCTCAGCAATGTCTTTTTTTTTTAACCCACTGTTTTATTTAAACTATCTGGATAGAAATTTTTCTTAAATGTGCTGACTACTTCTCTGTCTCCAACAGACACTCCTGTGACTCATAGACATTTGACGAGGGACCTTCAAGGTCAGCCCACTCAAACCCCTTTCGTATGATGAAAATAAGGTCCAGAGAGGGGAGGCAATTGGCAATTTGCCTCCAGGCTTCGGCTGGTTGGGGTGACACAGGTGGGATTAGAAAGAACACTGGTCCTTCCCCTGCCCCGGCTGACTCTTCCGATTTCAGCTGCTGCTAATGCTGGGCTCTGTGGCTGCAGGAATGCTGGTTGTTAGGCTGAACATCCCAGCAGGCAATGATGCCAGGGCCCTCTGCTGCTTCCCCACAGGGGCTGAGCTTCAAGCAGCAGGGCTGGTCCTGCAGCAGCTTTCTCTAGCAGGCACAAACAAAAGCTCCTGTGAATGCTAGTGTGAAAGACAGAGCCAAGTACACTGGGTCTGGAAAGTTCCATGGGCCCCAGAGGCTCGGGGCAGCCCAGCTGAAAACCAGTGGCCAGAGAAGCTAGACAAGGACACCTGGAGAAACCCCGGTCTCACCCAGTGTCCTCATCTATGGAATGGGTATGAAAACACTTCCCCGTTCCACGTCCTCCGAGCACCACCATCAGGCTAAAGAGAACAGCCACGTGAGCAGAATGTGCCAGCTGGGAAATTACATGAGACATAAGCATGTTTATGTTGTGTTCTTCCTTCTGCCTGGCTGCCTGCCATGCCTGCGCACTCTGCTGGGTGCCTGTCTCTCCTCCTGTTAAATGTGTGGCTTTGAATCTGCCCTGGGTTGGGAAGCAACCCTCCTCCACCCCCCTGCCATGCCCCTCCCCTACCTGTCAGATCTCCAATGCCATGAGCCCCAGTGGCCCCGACCTCGGGGGTGACCCTGACCTCGGAGGTAGACCTGACCTCGGAGGTGGCCCTGACCTCGGGGGTGGCCTGACCTCAAGGGTGACCCTAACCTCGGGGGTGACCCTGACCTCAGGGGTGGACCTGACCTCAGGGGTGACCCTGACCTCGGGGGTGGCCTGACCTCGGGTACTGAGGGCCCTGGGAATACATGAACATCCATGTGGCTGCTGTGACCTCGCAGGGCCTCTTGGATCTGATCAGAGCATGGAAAAAGTGCACAGACAGTTCTGGCTCTAGAACCCGGACCCTGCCCAAGCCTCCTTTTCTCATCTGTAAAATGGGACCATGCAATGCCAACCTCAGGGAACCTGTGAGCATTGCTAAGATAATGCACATCAAGGGTGCTGTCTGGGACAGCTGATGGAGGGCAATGCTGGCAGGCCTCACCTGGCTTGAGCGGGCAGTGGGCAAGGGGGCTGAGGGCCAAACGGTGCTCTGGAGGGGACTAGGTCAGGCCCCATCCTCCTGGCTTAGGCAGCTGAGCTAATCCTACCTCCAAACCACTTGACAGCCTTCTGCCAAGAGTGAAATTCCACAGGCTTTGTGGGGGATCTGCATGTGAGCACACTCCCTCCGCTACCCCAGGCTGTTTCCTTTGAGGGCATAAACTAAAACGCAGTCCACAGGAGCAGACACATCACGGCCTCCCGAAGCCCCACGCAGAGGGACGGGTGTTCGGCTCCACTGGAATGTGCTTCGGAGGCTCGGGCTGGAACACGGACTCAGCCGGCGTGCCTCTGGAGCGGAGCAGCCTTCTGAGGGGGACACTGCCTTCACTCTCGCTGTGATTGGATGACAGGGACAGGGACAGCGCGTGACACCGATGAATCCAGACGCAGCCCATCACACACTGTCCTCTCCAAACCTGGAGCCTCCCAGCTCCCTGTGGCCACAGAGTAAAGTCAAAATTCCTGCTCCAGCTGCCATTCAAGGGCTCCCTGTGGGTGACTTCACCCCAGCTTTTCTGGCTCACATCCCCCTTTCCCCTTGTGAGCTCTGGGCTGCAGTCAAGTGCTACCCAGCGGACACTCAGTTCACCTTCCCCCTCTTCTTTCTCCAGTGAGGCCAGCTCAGGGTCACCCTCCTCCGTCCCAGCTTCTAGCTGCAGCCTTAATGGAGGGCAGACTCCTCTGTGAGCTCAGGGCACTGGGGCTCTCTCTGAAGGCCTCTCCACAGCCCACGTTCCAGTGACTCCCACTCCTCCCCCGGGATTCTCCATAGACAGAGCCTCTGATTTTATTTGTTTTTTGAGACAGAGTCTCACTCTGTTGCCCAAGCTGGAGTGCAGTGGTGTGATCTCGGCTCACTGCAGCCTCTGCCTCCCGGGTTCAAGTGATTCTCCTGCCTCAGCCTCCTGAGCAGCAGGCGCCCGCCACCACGCCCGGCTAATTTTCGTACTTTTGGTAGAGACAGTGTTTCACCATGTTGGCCAGGCTGGTCTTGAACATGTGACCTCAAGTGACTCACCCGCCTCAGCCTCCCAAAGTGCTGGGATTCCGGGCGTGAGCGGCTGAGCCCAGCCGAAGCTGTTTTGATTCCCTGTGTCACAGGGCTTAGAAAGTCCCATCAAGCTGAACATCAGCCTCCTATCCGGGGCAGCTCCAGCTGGGACTGTGGAGGTGCCCAATCCTCGGAATAGACCAGGGGCAGCTTAGCAGTGTCCCCTGGAGCCAGGGAAGGGCCTGAAGAATCCTCAGTCCAGCCCCGAGGAGGGCAGAGCCCCTCTGCTGCCTCCCCAGCAATGAGACAGGTTTATATAAGACTAGACTTGAGGAGGGGCATTCACCCAAAGCCTGAGGGACCCATCGCTGCATACCAGGGACTGCACTGCACTGTCCTGATGGAAGGCAGGGGCAATCCCATCCTGAGGTGCAGGCGGCAGGAAGACGGGGCTAGAAAACAGGCAGCAAACTGGGGGTCTGGGCTCGGCCGCCTCTCTCGACAGTGGCCTGGCTTCCCAGGAAAACCCTTGGGAAGCCTCTTGGAATGTTACTTAGACTCTGATGCCATATACTGTCTGGCTTGGGGACAAAGCAACCCACCAGGCCAGACTGTCTTCCTCTCATGGAGCTGCAGTTCCCACCTCCTGAGTTTCACGAACTGTTCGCTGGTTTATAAAACGGGCTGTGGGGGACAAGTCCCCATTTCCAACAGCCACTTTGGCTCTGTACATTTGGAGCTCCACCAGAGGGAGAGGGCTGAGAATATGATACAATTCACCACTGCCCTAAAGAACAGGACTCCCCCGGGCAGTGGTGAGCTCCCTGTCCCTGCAGTAAGGTGGAGGCTGCCTGTGTCCCCAGTGAGGGTGCTGGACAGGAGCTGGCCGGGAGGTCAGCTGGGAGGACAGTGGGAGGTCAGTGGACCAGGCCTTCCCTCCCGATCCTGAGGTTCTAGGGTCCAGGGTTCTCAGACTCCTCCCAGCCTTCCTTTCTGGAAGGGGGCGACACCCTCCATGGCTTCTGAGGACATGACCGGCCTCAGGCCACAGACTCTGACGTCTGCCTCTGACGTCTGCTCTGAGGAGGCAGCAATGGTAGCCAATGGATGGGCACCTGGCTCAGCAGCGGGTGGGGCGGGGTGGGCGCCGGGGGAGGTACCTACACACAGTGGAGGAGGGGCCCAGGCCGGGGCTGCCTCGCAGACTCCCCAGCACAGAAGAGAATTCGTACCAATGCTCCGTCTCCTGTCCGCGTCCTCGGCGGCCTGGCTCCCGCATCGGCGGCTCCCTTGGCTGGCGGCCTGGTCAGGGCTGACTGCAGCTGAAAAAGCAAACCTCACACTTCATACTCTGCTCAGCAATTGTGCAGCCCAAGGAAAGCACTCTGGTGCCACCGTGTGTGTGGTGACTTGTCTTGGTGGTGCATCCTTTCAGCTCACTTTAGGGTCACTCATGGAACGCCCTCCTTCAGAAACCACCCTGGAATGGAGAGGGTTTACCTGGCCGTCTGGCCCACTCCCTAGCTGCACGGTAGAAGCAGCCTGAGGCTCACTAACAGCTTAGTAGGTAATAATGCTTCACTCATCATCTGCCTCCTGGAGTTCTAACCACAGCCTAGGGGCATCAAAAACGATGGATTTCAGGTTACAGACGAACAGATGAGGCCAGAGCACCGTGCAGCCTGCTGGAGGCCCACAGCATTGGATTTAAGATGCAGCACCACCACACACTGTGTGATCTGAGAAAGCCTCTTAACCTTCCAACTTCAGCCCTTCCAGCTACACATGGAGAAGCTGGGAAGGTCCCCTTTTGCCCATGCTGGGAGTCCCAAGGCCCCTCACTTCCCGCTCCAGCTCCTGGATGCGATTGGTCAGCTGCTTCACTCTGGTTTTTGCACCCTCTGATTCTGCCATCAACACCCGGTTCTTTTTTGATAGCTCCACAATTTTGGTGGCGACCACATCTCCAGCTACACCAGCTGTCCCTAAAAAGAAGGGAATGGTGAGGTCAATTAAAACATCAAACTCATGCCCCACCACCGACAGCACCAGGGTCTTGAAATCTAAAGCTGCTTGGCATGGATGCTCATGAAGGGCACTGGCTTAGGAGGGGCACCATGCACCTAGCAGCCTTGGGAACCAACTCCCATGAGTGGAAATGCAGCCGCTCAGAGGTTCAGTATGTTCTTGGAAAATTATAAAAGCAGAAGACAGAGTTTTCCTTCTGTGAGAGTCAGGTTTATCACTGCAGTGCTCCATGCCATCCTCAGTGACAGGGTCACGTCCATATCCCTGTAACTCTGCTGTGCCCTCTGATGTGTAGGGTGCAGTCCCCTTGGCCCTTCTATGACTCTGGGTTCAGCCACGTGGCTTGCTTTGGCCAAAGGCACATGAACAGATACGGTGCAGATAAGCACTGGCTCAGCAGCGGGTGGGGCGAGGTGGGCGCCGGGGGAGGTACCTACACACAGTGGAGGAGGGGCCCAGGCCGGGGCTGCCTTCTCAGTCAGGCCTGAGAAGCACTCATGTGGTGAAACTCGCTGCTTGGCGTAAGCCCCCCCACAGGAAGAGTGTATCTGGCTGCTGGTCTCAAGAGTAAGAAGAGTCACGTGAGGAACCGACCTAGCCAGCCTGGCCCAGATCGGTGTTTAAGCTAAATAAACGCTTACTGCTGCTGAGATTGCGTGGTTGTTTCTTACAGAGTTTGGTGGTAACACGTATCCAATACAAAGGCATATTCATTTAGCAAATATTTGTTTTCTATCAAGTGCTGGGTCCTCTTGGTATTACGGATTCCACAGTAGATAAAAAAGATTCATGGAGTTTACATTCAAGTAGGGAAGACAGATAATTTAAAACATCAAAGAAATAACTACATATTCTAATACGTAAGAGGAGTAAGTGTTGAGGAATATACTGGAGCCGGGCCAGGGGTAAGAATGAGGGAGGTGATGCCGTTTTAGAGGGACTGGCCGGGAAAGGCTCTCTGAGCAGGTGAGGTGTGAACAGACACCTGAGTGAATGAAGTGAGGGCTCGGACCATGAAGAGTGTTCTCACCTAGGAAGGACATTCTAAGCACAGGAGATGCAGGTACAAAGGTGTTCAGGTGGGAACGTGCGTAGACTGTGTGAGGACCATCAAGGACTCCAGCATAGAGGGAAGGCTCCCTGCAGTGGGCGAGGGGAGGAGGCTGTGGAAGGAGGCCAGAGGATGTGGACAGGGGAAGCCGCATGGGTGGGAGCCGTGCGGAGGGCGGGCGCTGGGAGCCAGCCCAGCGTGGTCACTGCCTAACTGGTGGCCCTGACAGCCCCTCACCCTCTCTGGAGTGCAGCCCCCATCGGTGTGATGGCAGATGTGGTCAGATGGTTGGCAGGTTTCCTGAATGCGTCTGACACGGTAGTAGGGAGTAACTGGCAGTCCTGTTTTTAGTCCTGCTTTTAACATGGCCATCATATGCCTCAGAACAAGATGAGGGGTGACACCTGGTGGAAAGCAAACAGGCACTTGATGGCTTTCAAATCACCTCCTGCCAGCCTGGCCGAGGCAGCGAGGGACAACTAGGAGCAGCTGCCCTTGGAATCTCATGTCTGCGGGGGAGGACAAGGACACCCCAGAAGAAAAGGCTCAGAGCAGACCTGGAGGCCTGGACTCAGCTCCTTTAATAGACTGTGTGTCAGGGTGTGTCGGGGGTGGTGATAATAAAGGAGCATTGTGAAAATCATCAACTCTAGCAGTTAAAAAAACCGCAATTTCAGCAGAGGTCTGGTTCCGGTTAAGATGGAGTGAGCACACTCTACCCTATCTCCTTCGCTGAATACGACCAAAAGCCTGGATAGGGTGTGGAAGTGGTGCTCTGAGCGTTCTGGGGAAGGAAAGCAGATGAGACGCACAACGGTCTGGTGGTTCATTTCCTCCCCGGACTCAGATCAGCACAGATCCTGAACTGGCCATCAGAAAGAGGTCCAAGAGAATGCCTTTCGAGTGCAAACAGCACGTTGTGGGGCTCGGACAGAATGGAAAGAATCCTCTGGGTTTCTTTTTTTTATTCTTTACCAACCCTGTCTCCAGGCCAGCTCTGCTCTTGAAGCTGCAACCCCCAATCGACGGGGGCAGCAGTCAGATGAGTCCATGACCAGGTCTGTGCGTTAGCAAAGACTGGAAGAGACAGCTAACAAGGAGCGGGGCTGAGGGAGGGACCCCAGGTCTGCTGCACAGGCCTGCTGGGTGAAGAGCACAGAAATGGAAGCACAGAAATGCTATCTGGCTAAAGAGAACAGTCCTGCCTTTGGGTTCATTAAAATATGTATGATGGTTGAAAGCAAAAAGAATAGCACTGACTGCTAGAATTTTCAATATATATATGGATATAATACCTATAAATTCTGCAATATACAGGGAGAGCTCAAGGGACCTGGATGGTGGCAAAGTTTCTAGATTCCACGTGAAGTGGTAAAATATTAGTTCTATGCAGACTATAAAAAGGTAAGTACGTATCATCAGAACAATCACTAAAAATCCAGCCAAAGGGAACCAATCTATCAGCTGTCAGTGGCCTGTCACTTGCGGCATGGTTTGGAAACATAAATGGGCTCGTCAGATTTTCTCTCGGAAACGTGAAAACGGAAATCAGAAATGGTGACTTCAGAGTGAAGCCTGGACTTCAGTGGTTTTCAGGGACACTCAGGGCTGGCTGTCAGATGAGGCCATGACCAGGTCTGTGCGTTAGCAAAGACTGGAAGAGACAGCTAACAAGAAGCGGGGCTGAGGGAGGGACCCCGGGTCTGCTGTGCAGGCCCGCTGGGTGGAGAGGCACCTCCTGCACCAGCTTCTCTACACCTGGCAAATGGGCACGCGGCCCCTTCCACAGCTGGGCCCTCGGCCAGGCTGAGTCTATCTACTCCTCACAATACACAGACTTGTCTTCAAGGTTTGTGTTTTTTGTTTCAGAAAGAAAAGGCCCAAGAATGGAGGGAGGTGCACTAGGCCAGCTTTAGGGAACCAAACTCCCCTGGCTTTGTCAATCAGCACTGGCTGACCAGAGCTCTGGTCCCACCCTCAAAAGCATTTACTCTCAAAGACAGGGAGGGACGGTCTGCTGGGTGCAGAGTCAGCCCTGCTGCTCTCTGTGACTGCTGACATCTACAATACTTTCTGATTTGTGAACCGGAATTGCTCAATGGGTGTATACATAGCAGACGACAGTCTGGTCCAAAGTCCCCACTCCATCTGCAGGGCCAAAGTCAAACGCATAACCACAGCTCACACACACAGATCAAAGGTCACTCCCAGACCTGCAAGGCCAAGGTCCTCACTGGACTCATGGGGCCTAGGTCTCCACCGACGCAGCTAAGGTCTACCCACAGGGCAAGACACACAGGGCAAGGCCTAGCCCAGCCCCCACTGGTGGCTGGTCCCAGGATATCCTCCCAGAGCAGTGGCTTCCCTGTCTCAGTCTACCTTTCTAGAGCAGCAACAGCAGGTGCGTAAAGCTAACAGCCATCTCTACTGGAGCATTTTTTTCTTTGAGACAGGATCCCACTCTGTTGCCCAGGGTTCGGTGCAGTGGGGTGATGGTAGCTCACCACAGGCTGCGGGGCTTTTTCATGTTCACACCGTAACATCTGAGCCAGCGCACCAAGGAGGAACACACCCCGCAGCCCTTGAACATCACGTGAGCATGATGGCGAGTCCCGGTCACGAGACCCAGCTGGGTCGCCAGCATTGCCTAGGAGGCTGGCCTGCCGGCCCACGTGTTAACCCCTCATTGCCCCTGTGCTCCCGTTTTCTGGTGGGCTGGCCTCCCTGGGCCTGCTTGTTTCCTCTACCCTCTCCCTCACTTCCAGGACTCAGCTGGACAAACTGGACCATAAATGACCCTCGACACGCTAGTGGGCAGCTGCCCTCCGAACGTGCTGTCTGCCTCGTCTGAAGTCCCTGGACTGCAGGGCAAGGCCTGTCACAAATGTGGAGCTACCTGTGAAGGCAAGTCTGTCCTCTTCCATCTTCTTTCTGAGGTGTTTGATTTCAAAGTCCCTTTCCTTCAGCAGCTTATACAATCGCCCGTTCTCGTCCACTGTTTCCCTGAGCTCGTTTCGAAGGTGTTCAATCTCATCTTCAAGCACCCTACAAGGCAAAGGCAGAACTAATGCTCCTTCAAGGCGAAAGCCCTGGTGGGCAGGAGTCAGGCCTCCAGTGCCCAGGTGGACACACAGACACGTGAAAGAAGAAAGGATTGAAGGCTGTGTTCATTAGCTGGCTTCAATAGAGAGTTATAAAAAAAACCCACTTAGAATTCATACTTCTTTTAAGCATCCATGGAGCATGAACAAAACATATCACAGGGCTGGGTGTGGTGGCTCACATCTCTGATCCCAGCACTTTGGGAAGCCAAGGCAGGAGTCTGTGACTAGCCTAGGCAACAGAGAGAGACCTTGTCTCTAAAAATGAAAGGAAAATGTTAGCCAGGCATGGTGGTGTACACCTGTGATCCCAGTGACTCCAGAAGCTGAGATGGGAGGATTGCTTGAGCCCAGGAGCTGGAGGCTGCAGCGAGCTGTCATCTTGCACTCCAGCCTGGGCAACAGTGCAAGACCCTGTCTCTTAAAAAAAAAGAAAAAAGAGGGAGCAAACCACACTGCCATGTGTGTACCTATGCAACAATCTTGCATGTTCTTCACATGTACCCCCAAACCTAAAATGCAATAAATAAAAAATTTTAAAAAAAGAAAAAAGAAAAAGTATTATTATTATTATTATTATTATTATTACTTTTTTGTGTGTGTGTGACGGAGTTTCGCTCTTGTTACCCAGGCTGGAGTGCAATGGCGCGATCTCGGCTCACCGCAACCTCCGCTTCCTGGGTTCAGGCAATTCTCCTGCCTCAGCCTCCTGAGTAGCTGGGATTACAGGCACACGCCACCATGCCCAGCTAATTTTTTGTATTTTTAGTAGAGACGGGGTTTCACCATGTTGACCTGGATGGTCTCGATCTCTTGACCTCGTGATCCACCCGCCTCGGCCTCCCAAAGTGCTGGGATTACAGGCTTGAGCCACCGTGCCCGGCCGAAAAAAGAAAAAGTATTATAAGCTATAAAGGCAATCTTAGCAAATTCCAAATAATAACATTATATAGACTCTTTTCTCTAATGGCAAGTGACTGTATTAGAAATCGATAATAAAAAATAGAAATAAAACAAGAGGCTAGGCGCGGTGGCTCACACCTGTAATCCCAGCACTTTGGGAGGCTGAGGCGGGCAGATCACAAGGTCAAGAGATGGAGACCAGCCTGGCCAACATGGTGAAACCCCATCTCTACCACAAATACAAAAATTAGCTGGGTGCGGTGGCGCACACCTTGGGAAACTAAGGCAGGAGAACAGCTTGAACTCTGGAGGTAGAGGTTGCAGTGAGCTGAGATCGTGCCACTGCACTCCAGCCTGGTGACAAAGCAAGACTCCATCAAAAAGGGAAGGAAGGAAGGAAGGAAGGAGGGAAGGCGGGAAGGAGGGAGAGAAGGGAGGAACGAAGGAAGAAGGGAGGGAGGGAGGGAGGGAGGGAAGGAAGGAAAGAGGGAAAGAGGGAATGGAGGAAGGAAGGAAGAAGGGAGGCAGGGAAGGAGGGAGGGAGGAAAGGAAGGAAGGAAGGAAGAAAGGAGGGAAGGAGGGAAGGGAGGAAGGAAGGAGGGAAGGAGGGAAGGGAGGAAGGGAAGGAAGGAGGGAAGGGAGGAAGGGAAGGAAGGAGGGAGGCAGGGAGGGAACCAACCAACCCAAAACTCATCATATGTTTGAAGCTAGAAAAATAGTCTATACTCCTAAATTATTTATGGGTTAAGAAATCATAATATGTCTATAAAGCATTTAGAATGAATTGATTACAGAAGCTGTATCAGAACTTGGTAAATGCAGGTATGATTAAGGCTCGAAGATTCCTTTTGTCACTTCAGCCGCACTTTACAAGTTTTGCTATAGCTCCTGTGGTACACACACACACACACACACACACAGACACACACAGACACACACACAGACATACAGACACACAGAGACACAGACACACACATACACACACACAGACACACACAGACACACACACAGACATACACAGACACACACACAGATACACACACACAGACACACAGACACACACACGCAGACACACACACAGACACAGACACACACACAGACACAGACACACACACAGAGACACACACACACACACAGACACACACACACAAATACACACACACAGACACAGACACACACAGAGACACACACAGACACAGACACACACACGCAGATAGACACACACACATACACACACACACACACACCTCTTCTCAAAGCTGTTTTTCGAGTGTGGCTCCCCAGCATGGAGAAGGCCGAGGCCACCTGGGACCTCCAAGGGCTCCTCCTGGCCGTCAGCTCTGCTTTCGGGGCTCAGCTCCTTCTCCCTCTTTCTCTCCATCTGCTTCTGGAACCGTCTGCGCTGCATCTCCTGCATCGCCTGGAACTGGAGCCGCAGAGTGTCCTGCGAGCTTTCATCAGCCGCCATCCTGCCCTGGGGTCAGGAAAGAAGCCTAAGCCAAAGCACCCACACACAGCGCACCCCATCTGCGCCCAGCCCTGGAGCTCACTGCTCCGCGCTGCGTGGACATCCACGTGGAAGCTTGGAAGCCCACCCACAGCTCACCTCACTAGAAAGCCGAGGTGGAACCGAGCAGCCTCCCCGTTCCCGAACACGCCAGCAGACGGTCCACGGCCTCGGGACGGCCTCCGTCACTCACACTCAACACTCACTCGTGCTGGCCTGAAATCCATGGCTCCCAACTCCGGCTGAACACTAAAGTCCCCCAGGAACTCCCAAATAGCAATGCCTGGGACCATTTCCAGACCTACTAAATCTCAATTTCCAGGAATAGGGCTTGGCCATTTCTACTTTTTCTTTTTAAATGCAGGTATAACTCATATATAGAAAAGTACACAAATTCTGACCATATGGCTCAATCAATCTTTCCACAGACATACCCCTCTGTGGTACATGCAGATCAAGGCACAGGGCATTTCCAGTCCCTCAGCAGGCTACGCTGGCCTCCTCCAGTGATCCTCCCCCAGGGTAACTATTATTCTGACCGCTACCATTGAAGATGAGTTTTGTCTGGTTTCTCTTTAGCCAATCTATCAAACAATAATTTATGTACAGTAAAAGACACCAGGCCAGGTGCAGTGGCTCATGCCGATAATCACAGCACTTTGGGAGGCCAAGGCAAACAGACTGCTTGAGCCCAGGAGTTTGAGGCCAGCCTGGGAACGTGGTGAAACCCCATCTCTACAAAACACTGGCTGTGGTGGTGCAAATCCGTAGTCCCAGCTATGCAGCGGGCTGAGGTGACAAGATCACTTGAGCCCAGAAAGTGGAGGCTGCAGTGAGCCGCGATTGTGCCACTGCATTCCAGTCTGAGACCCTGTTTCCAAAGAAACAAAAAAACAGAAAAGCAAAAAATAGCAATTTTATGTGTACAAATGAGTTTTGACAAATATGTGCACCGTGTCAACCACCTCCACCATCACAGAAGAACATTTTCATCTTGCCAGAACCCTCCTTGTGCCCTTTTGATGTCCATTTCCCTGCCAGTCCCAACCCCAGGCAAACTCAGGTCTGCTTTTGTTCACCACAGTTTTGCCTTTTCTGGAATTTCCTATCACTGGAGTCATAAAGTAATTAGCCTTTTGTGTCCGGATCTTTTACTCAGTATGATCTTTTCGAGAGTCATCCATATCACTGCATGTATTATAGCTCATTCCTTTTTATGACTGACTAATATACATTGCTTAGATGAACAATTTGATTACACATTCAGCTGTTGGACATCTGAACTGTTTCCGGTTTTGGCTGTTATGAATAAAGCTGTTGCCAGGCGCCGTGGCTCACACTTGTAATCCCAGCACTTTGGGAGGCCGAGGCAGGTGGATCACGAGGTCAAGAGATCAAGACGATTCTGGTCAACATGGTGAAACCCTGTCTCTACTAAAAATACAAAAAAAGTAGTTGGATATGGTGGCACATGCCTGTAATCCCAGCTACTCAGGAGGCTGAGGCAGGAGAATTGCCTGAACCCAGGAGGTGGAGGTTGCGGTGAGCCAAGATTGCGCCATTGCACTCCAGCCTGGGTAACAAGAGCGAAACTCCGTCTCAAAAAAAAAAAAAAGATAGGTAGGTAAACACATAATTTAATTCAGATAAAGTAAAAATAAAATGCTATCTCAATGTGGTTTTAACTTGCATCTCTGCTGACTAGTTATCTTTCTTTTTTTTTTTATTTTTATTTTTGAGACTGAGTCTCACTCTATCACCCAGGCTGGAGTGCAATGGCACGATCTCGGCTCACTGCAACCTCCACCTCCTGAGTTCAAGCGATTCTCCTGCCTCAGCCTCCCAAGTAGCTGGGATTACAGGCGCATGCCACCATGCTCCGCTAATTTTTTTTAGAGATGGGGTTTCACTGTGTTAGCCAGGATGGTCTCGATCTCCTGACCTCGTGATCCACCCGCCTCGGCTGACGAGTTACCTTTCATGTGCTTGCTGGCCATGTGTCTATCTTCTTTTGTGACATGACTACTTGAATTTTTTACCCATTTTTAAATTGTACTGTCTGTCTTATAACTGGGTGCTCAGTTTCTTATACATTCTTGATGTTTTGTCTGTTTGAACTTCACATAAATGAAATAATAGGGCACAGACACTGGAATTATTAAACGTTTCCCTCATGATTTTAAAGTGTAGCCAGTGGTGACGTCCCTGCCTCAAACCAACCTCAAGCCACACCATCCACCTATCATGCAATTAACCATAACTTGTGTATTCTCCATAAACGTCCTAAAATCTGCCCCCACGTCCCCATTCCCACGGACATCAGGCTCATAACCACAAAGGGGCATCTGCACCTGCTGTTACCTCTGCCAGGAATGTCCTTTCTCCAGACATCCACCTTACTGATTTCCTCTCAAATGTCACCTTACCACAGAGGTCTCCCCACATCCTACTGTAGAGAGCACCCCGCCCTCACTCCCCAGGGCTTTGCCCTGGGTCGTCTTCCTCCTCCAGGGCACTTAGGTCACCTGACACGTGGTATTCTGATTTGTTTACTTGTCCACCGCCTGTCCCCCTCCGCACCAGCTTCACATTGGCAGGCACTGTGTGGTGTTCCCTGCTGTATCCTCATGCCTATAGCAGGGCCTGGGATGCTGCAGGCGTGGAATGAATTCTTGGTGGACGAATGACTACCTTTTGCTGAGGGACTTCTTTCTCTAAAGCACAGCTCTGAGCCTGACAGGCTCCTGTACAGAAAGCTCCAGCAGATGCCCCTCAGCCACAAAGCCAAGTCCAACAGCACACGCGCTTTGGATCTGGCCCCAGTGTCTCTTCTGACCTGTTTTCCCTCTCCTGATGCCGGTTCTAGCTGGTTGTGTTGGCTTGCTCCTCTGCTCCTACACCTCCTTCTCCTCCAAGGCTTCAGTCTTGCTGGTCCTCCCACAGCCAGCGTGAACACCATGGTCCCTGTCTGACCCCCCAGGAGGAATACTCCCCCTGCCCAGACAGCCTCACCTGCTGAATCTGCACCTTCTCAATATACGTATCTCCATCTCACCCACAGCGGTGGTCCCAGAGCCTGTACTGTTACTCTTAAACTTGCTTCAATACCACATTCCCAGGATACAATCTAAAAATGCTGATAACCAGGCCCCACCCCTACAGAATCTGATTTAAGTCGGTCTGGAGTGGTGACCAGGCACAGGGTGGTTTACGTGCCGCCCAGGTGGTTTTAATGTGCTGTGGGCCGAGCCCAGGGTCTGGCAAAGGTCAAGCACAAGCAGGAGCTGGTGTTTTGTTGAAATTCTTTACCAGGCAGCCCCACACAGTAAGAAGAACGGGAAAGAATTAACTCAGAAAACCTGTACCGTCTACACCTGCACATTCCAAAAAACAGGTTTGGCCTTTGACCCACTCGCTCGTAAGAGAGACTCTGAGCACTGAGAGAATGCTTCCTGATGAGTGTTTTTCTTCACAGGGGGGCTTGGGCCATTCCAGTCTCTGCTAATTAACAATGTGATTCATTGCCGGGTGTGGGGTAGGCTGGAGGGGCTGGAGATTGAGTGACTGAGGTCAACTGTGCCTGCATGACCATCTCCTAATAAAAACCCTGGACACCAAGACTCAGGGGAGCTTCCCTGGCTGCCAATACTCCACGTAAGTTGCCACGAATGGTTGCCGGGAGAAGTAAGCACTGTCCACACGGCTCCCCTGGGAAAGGACTGGAAGTTGCACCTGTGTCTCCCGGACTCTGCCCTATGTGCCTCTTTGCTGCTTTGGACCTGTATTCTTTCACTGTAATAAACAATACACGTGAGTATAATGGCTGACCTGAAGGCTAAATCCTCTGTTAAAAGGTAAATGTTAGGCCAGGCCTGATGGCCCCCACCTATAATCCCAGCACTTTGGAAGGCCAAGGTGGGAACATAGCTTGGGCCCAGAAGGTTGAGGCTACAGTGAGCTGTGAACCAGCTACTGCACTCCAGCCTGGGTAACAGTGAGACCCTGTCTCCGAAACAAAAACAGAAAAACTTTAAACCAAATATAATGGAATTTAATTGAGCAAAGAACGATTCACAAATGTAAAAGCCCCCAGAACCAGAACTCCAGGCCTGCCACCCAGTCAGGCAAAATGTATGGACAGAGAAAATAAGAGCGGGACAGAAAGCACACGTGAGGCACAGAAACAGCTGGGCTGATGGCCGCTGGCTGGCTGCCTTACCTGGATACAATCTGAGCAGCTGGCTGCCTGTGATTGGCTGAAACTCTGTGACTGGTACAAGAGTACGTTACAGTCTGTTTAAATATCTAGTTAGGCAGCAGTTTACTATGAACAGAGAAACCTTCAGGCTGAGCTTAGAGCATATAAGAAGGCAGCTCTGGGCTACAGTTAGTTTAACACATCCCATAGACGTTTTTGTTTGGCTCTCACAGAACACTATGTTAGGATCTGAATTTGTTGCCAGCATTCAAAGAATTGTAACTTCAATACCAGATTTCCAGTGTTGACAAGAGTCAAACTCTGTAACATATCTGAAGAGATGTATTCTTTTTTTTTCTTTTTAGACAGAGTCCCGCTCTGTCGCCCAAGCTGGAGTGCGGTGGCACAATCTTGGCTCACGGAAACCTCCGCCTCCTGGGCTCAATCAATTCTCCTGCCTCAGCCTTCTGAGTAGCTAGGACTACAGGCCTGCGCCACTATGCCTGGCTAATTTTTGTCTTGTTTTGTTTTTTCAGAGACAGGGTTTAACCATGTTTAGCAGCTGAGCAGCTGGCTGCCTGTGATTGGCTGAAACTCTGTGACTGATACAAGAGTAGGTTACAGTCTGTTTAAATATCTAGTTTGGTTACATCTAGTCTCAAACTCCTGACCTCAAAGTGATCCGCCCACCTCAGCCTCCCAAAGTGCTGGGATTACAGGTGTGAGCCACTGCACTCAGCCTGTGATTTATTCTAAGCCAAATATGAAA